CAGGCTTTCTCGTCCACGTCCTGCAGAAGTCGATCGGTGGTACACTTTGGGCTCAGGCTGCGACACACCACTGCGGGGGCGGCATGGACGGCGGAGTAGACTGCACGTCTCTTCGTCACCTACATCGCCAACTTCTGCCCCTTGATCGTGGTGGTCGCCTCGCCAGCTCCTTGTTACGATTGCCGCCGCAGCTTTCTGGACACGCACGCGGAGTGCGGAGCGGGCCCCCACAGGAGTACACGTTGACAAGTTATGCCCCCGTTGCGGGGAGGAAGACGAAACCTTTTTTTACATCGGATGTGGAGCTGCAGTAAGAACACGGGTGCTGCGGCCTACAAGTTTTCAGAATCTTTGGTGAGCGAGGCCGCTGCTAACTGGGAGGCTACCGCGTGCTTCTGGTTGAGAGGGCTACTACCTTCAGCATTGGTGGAGTTGCCACCACCATTGGCAGACGAGCACTGGGAGTCGCTTGGAGTATGCGCTGTCACTGACACCTTCGGCATTGGCTCTCGCCACAAGCCGCTCTTCCTCTGTGGGGGTGCCAGAGGCGGCGAGTTGTCGAGTTCGACTCGGCATCGTCGGGCAGGGCTGGCGGCTGCACACCTTTCGCAGCTCAACCCCGTTGTGATCGAGAGTGCATTCCTGGGCGGCTTAGCGGGGGACCGACGCCGATTTGCGGATCGAAGTAGGAAAGCAGTTCGGGCCCCATCGCGACCCAGCCTCCTTCGCGGTGTCATTTGTCAACTCACATATGGAGCCCGCGAGGCCACGTCTGGGAGATTTCCCATGTGGATGATCTCGGGCAACGCCGTGGCGGATACGTTCGCAGGGGCCGCAGCTGCTAAGTACCAGGTCAATGTACCACCCAGGGCACGCGCGGCGAGTTGGGAGCAGAAGATCTACTCTGTCAGGCTGCGCCTGCTCCGCGCCGCAGTGGACACGCTGGCAGCTGAGAAGCAGCGTGCGCCGAAGGCGAGGAAAAGACACGAGGTCAACCCTCCCCCCCCTCTCGCCCCCTCCGTGATCCAAGTTTTTTCCGACCGCCCACTGCTTGGATCAAACGGGTCGCCGACGCACTCGGCGCTGCAGTTCCGCGACCTTCGCGAGACGCGCTTTCTGGAGGGGCACTCCGTGTTTTAAGCCCGTCTTTGCTTACGGTGACGTGTTCGAGGTCCCGTCTGGAGTAAAGTTGCACTTAGCGGGGGGTGGGTACACCACCACACGCACTATATAAAGTGTACGGTATTGTAAAGTTATGATTATATTGCCGATGCGGATGCTTCGCCAGTCAGATGCTTAAGGGTCTTGGGTTGGGGTGTCACAAGACCGCGAAGTCCAACAGATCAGAGAATATGTCCCGCACTGCCGAAGGCCAGTGGCCCAGGGCGCTGAGCATGGCAGAGCAGGCTCGCAGGGTTTCGTAATATTTCAAACTTCGCTTCGCGAATGGGGTCGAACTCCTCGTCCTCCTTCTCCTCCTCCTCCTCCTCCTCTTCCTCCTCCTCCTCCTCGATCATCCTCCTCCCCCCCTCCTCCTCCTCCTCCACCTCCTCCTCCTGCTCATGCTCCTGCTCCGGTTCCTCCTCCTCCTTCTCCTCCTCCTGCTCCTCCTCCTCCTCCTCCTCCTCCTCCTCCTCCTCCTCCTCCTCCTCCTCCTCCTCCTCCTCCTCCTCCTCCTCTCCTGTTCCTTACAAATAATTTCTCCCTGTCGCACCCCGAGGCCAGTTTTTAGGGCGGGGCGGGCGTTTCGCTTGAGATTTCCTAATCATGTGTGACCCTGAAGCTTTAAAATCGCAACAGCTTCACTGATGGAGGGCGGGTCATTTTCAACATATGGCTCTCGCCTCAGCGCCGCGCACATTCGTTTTAAATGTGCAAGAGCTTCACGGATTGAGGGTGGGGCGTTTTCAAAATGTGGTTCTCGCCTTAGCGCCGCGCACATTCGTTTTAAACATGTGCAAGAGTGTCACGTATCGCAAGAGCTTCACGAATTGAGTGCGGGTGTTTTTCAACATGTGGCTCTCGCCTAAACGCCGCGCACATTCGTTTGTAAAAAAGTGCAAGGGTTCCACTGATTCCCATGATCAGCGTACCAGACAATGCGTTTTGGAAGGATTCAGGATTATGAGGATGCAACAGTTATGTTGATTCGCGGCGTTGAAGTCCCAGGAGTGACATTCTGGCACGACTCCGGATCGTCAAGACGCAACAATCAGGTTGATCCGCGGCGTTGGAATCCCGAGAACAATGTTTTGGCATGCCTCAGGTGTTTTAAACGGTTGTCTTCCAACGAGGCAGTTTCTTCTGTTGAAATGAACCGTTATAAGGGGCTTATGAAGTGCGAGCTTGGAGAGAGGGTTTATTCTAAGATCGTTGATGACCCTTGGGTTTACACTGGTCCTCCTCCTGCTCCTCCTCTTTCTCCTCCTCCTCTTCCTCCTCCTCCTCTTCCTCCACCTCCTCCTTCCTCTCCTCCTCTTTCTCCTGCTCCTCCTCCTCCTCCTCCTCCTCCTGCTCCTCCTCTTTCCCCTCCTCTTCCTCCTCCTCCTCCTCCTCCTCCTCCTCCTCCTCCTCCTCCCCCTCTTCCTCGCTCCTCCTCGCTCCTCCTCGCTCCTCTTTGCTCCTCCTCCTCCCCTGGTCGCGTGGCGATGGCGTTCAGTGGTCCTCCTCCCACCTCCCTCCTGCTTCCTCCTCTTTCACACCTCCTTCTCCTCCTCGTCTCCTCCGCTCCTCCTCTCCTCATCCATCCCCTCCTCCTCCTCCTCTCCTCCTCTTTTCTCCTCTCCTCCCCTCCCACCTCCTCCTGCTCTCCACCTCCTCCTCCTCACTCCTCCTCTCCTCCTCCTCCTCCTCCTCCTCCTCTCCTCCTCCTCCTCCCCTCCTCCGCCTCCTCCTCCCCTCCACCTCCTCCGCCTCCTCCCCTCTTCTCGTATGCTGCCTCCCCTCCTCCTTCTTCTGCCTCCTCCTCCTCCTCCACCTCCTCCTCAACCCTCCTCCTCCTCCTCGTCCGACTCCTCATACCTCCTCTTCCTCCTCCCTCCTGCTTCGCCTCCATGCTCCCCATCCTCCTCCTCCTGCCTCTCCTCCTCCTCCTCCACCTCCTCCACTCCTCTCCTCCTCCCTCCTCCTCCATCCTCCCCTTCCTCCCCTCCTCCTCCTCCTCCTCCTGCTCTCTCCTCCCCTCCCCTCCTGCTCCTCCTCCTCCTCCTCCTCCTCCTCCTCCTCCTCCCTCTACCTCCTCCTCCTCCTCCTCTCCTCTCCTCCACTTTCTCTCCTCCTCCTCCTCCTCTTTCTCCTCCTCCTGCCCCTTTCCTCCTCCGCCCCTCCTTCGCCTCACTCCTCCTCCTCTTCCTCATCCTCATCTTCCTCGCTCCTCGCTGTCTCCGTCGTCCTCCTCCTCCTCCTCCTCCTCCTCCTCCTCCTCCTCCTCCTCCTCCTCCTCCTCCCCCTCTTCCTCGCTCCTCCTCGCTCCTCCTTTTTCCTCTTTGCTCCTCCTCCTCCTCCCCTGGTCGCGTGGCGATGGCGTTCAGTGACTTCTCGGCGGCGAGCGAGGGGTGGAAATGCAGGACGGGGCTAGGACGAGGTTAAATCCCGTCCAGAGGGTTTCGGAACGCTCTCAGAGCGTTCCGGAACGCTCTGAGAAGGCCGCGGTGCCCGAGATATCTTCGAGAGCCGACGGATCTCAGAGATGTCTGATTTTCCCCAATCAGAGCTTGCCTCCGTAGGGGACCTAGCGGATTCTTATGGTTAGGTGAGGTTTAGCGTCGATTACGGCGGCACGTCCAGGTGCCCAGGTGCTTGGGTGCCCGGGTACCCGGGTGTCCAGGTGCCCGGGTGCCCGGGTGCTTGGGTGCCCGGGTTCCCAGGTGCTTGGGTGCCCGTGTGCCCTGTAGCCCCATAGCCCTCTATAGCCTCAACAGCCCTATAGCCTTAATAGCCCTATAGCCCGATAGCTCTCTAGCCCTATAGCCTTATAGCGTTCTGGCCCTGTGGCCATATAGCCCTATAACCCTATAGCCCTATGGCCCTGATAGCCCCATAGCCCTATAGCACTTATATCCCTGTAGCCCTATAAACTTATAGCCCTATAGCCCTATATCCCTGTAGCCTGATAGCCATATAGCCCTATAGCCATATAGCCCTATAGCCATATAGCCCTACAGCCTATAGCCATATAGCCTCATAGCCTTATAGCCCTACAGCCCTATAGCCCGATTGCCCTAAAAAGATTATGATTGGGGCTGTTCTCCAGTATCATTTGGTTAGGTTAAGTTTGGCGCCGATTTCAGCGGCTCGCCCAGGTGCCCAGGTGCCCCGTTGCCCGGGTGCACGGGTGCCCGGGTGTCTGGGTGCCCAGGTGCCCAGGTGCCAGGGTGCCCAGTCGCCCAGGTGCCCGGGTGCCCGGGTGTTTGGGTGTTGCCTGGGTGCCCAGGTGCCCGGGTGTTTGGGTGCCTGGGTGCCCGGGTGCCCGGTAGCCGTATACCCTTATTGTTTTATAGTTTTCTAGCCTTATAGCCATCTGGCCCTTTAGGCCTATAGCCCTATAGCCTTAATAGCCCTATAGCCCTATAGCCCTATAGTCCGATAGCCCTGTAGCCCTACAGCCCTATAGACCTACAGCCCTATAGCCCTATAGCCCCATAGCCCCATAGCCCTACAGCCCTTATAGCCCTGTAGCCCTATAACCTTATAGCCCTATGGCCCTATAGCCATATAGCCCTTATAGCCCTGTAGCCCTATAACCGCATAGCCTTATAGCCCGATATCCGGATAGCCCTATAGCTCAATATGTCTATGGCCCTATAGACCCATAGCCCTATGGCCGTATAGCCCTATAGCCTCATAGCCCTATTGCCCTAAAAAGATTATGATTGGGGTTGTCCTCTGGTATCATATCCGTACTTGATTTTATCTTCACCTCTGCTTCGCCTTAAATGAGAAGGAGGCAGCCTTCTCAAAAGGCGGCAGGACATCTCAGAAGCCCTGCGGACTTCCGAGCCCTCTGAGAAGGCCCGCCCCCTCTCATTTCCCCCCCCGGCTCGCCGCCGAACTTCATGAGCTTGTGCGAGAGGAGGCGTGGAGGGGCCCGAATATCAGCACTGTTTCACCGATCCCCATCCCCATCATCCTGCCGCCCCAGTCGGGGGTGTGCCCCTCGATACTTTGAGGGAACAGCATCGACCCCCATCTAGGGGAGTAGATCGGCCAGTGGGTCCCAGGCCACGCCAGGGGGAATAGGGATCGGTTGAACGATGCTCAGAAGAATAAAAATTGCATAAACATATGTTCTCGGAGATCCGCGCGAATGTCTGGGATCAGCGCTGGGCCCCGGGGGTCCGGCGCCGATCCCAGACATCCGCGCGGACCTCCGAGAAATTATGTGCTTGCCGCCTCTTGTTCCTTTAGCGAGCGCAGGCGCGTGGGCGAGGGCACGCTTCCCGGGACGGTGCGCGTGGAGAACGTGCCGTACGACGACGACGACAAGTGCGAGGCGGAGAGGGCGCGGGAGGTGCCGCTGGACGTCCCGGCGACGGTGCTGGACAGGCTGGCGCTCTACTGCGTGGAGGACGCGTCCAAGTGGCCCTCCGGGGGGCAGCTGTCGGGGGGGGGGGGGGAAGGGGCTCCAGGGAGAGCGCGTCGACCCCCGGTCGCCCAGTGATCGCGGAGGGCGGTCTGAGAGCCGCACCCCTCCCGTGCACCTGCGGACTCGCCATCGGGGGCCTGCAGTCGGGGCCCTGAAGAAGGAACCCTTCTCGTTGGGGAGGGGCTCCGTGTTCCTTCCTTGTTTCGCAGCTTGCCTTACCTTAGATGGTCCTCAGGTTTTCGATACGAGATCGAAGTTCCACTTCTGGAAAATAGGGGCCTCGTTCCTTATCTGGGGTTCCTTCGGTCAACGCCCCGACTGTTAGGGCTGGTCTACCTGCGATGTATCGCCGAGTCCAGGCCGACGGTTTCCCCCTCCGAGCCAGCCCCCCCCCCCCTGTAAAACAGGGCTGGGATCGGGATAAATCGCTCCAGAGCGTTCCGGAGCGCTCTCAGAGCGTTCCGGAACGCTCTGGAGCGGCCGCGGCGCCCAATACATCCTCCAAACCCGCCGATTCTCAGAGATTTCGAGTTATCCCGATCCGATTTTGTCCCGATCTTCGCGTCGTTTTACCCTGTCGTTGCCTCCCAGGCCCGCCGACCTCCTGGACGGCGTCCTTCCCCGGGACCCCTGCGCACAGCTCCTGCCCGCGTGGGCGCCCTGGCTGCGGGAGAGGCGCCTGTGGCTTGCGGCCCGCGGCCCGGGCGCCACGGCACACGTCACGGCCGGCTTCCACTGGGACCACATGAGCGACGAAGCAAAACGGGTTCGATTGCGCCGGCATTCGCGCGCAAGTTGCTCGCGCGAGGTCGCGCGCAGGCGCCCTCGCTTCCAGTGTGGTGCGGCGTGCCGCGCCAGCGGCCTGCGTAACCCACCGCGTAGGGTCGCTGCGCCATCTCGCGTGAGGCCCCTTCCTTTTTTCGTCGCTCGCATGGAGAACGTCCACGTTGTCCTCACGGGGAAGAAGGAGTCGAGGAGGAAGAAACTGCACAGGCATCAGTCGTCGGAGCTTCGCGCGGATTCCACGGATCTGCGCTGGGCCCCCCTCCCTGGCGCGCGCTCCACGCGCCAGGGGGCGGCTTTGGAGGCGCCGCCAGGGGGGCACGGCGCCGATCCGAGGAATCCGCGCGGAGCTCCGAAAGGCGGTGGTTTGCATCGCCGTCTGCCCCTCCAGAGGGTCGTGCCGCGTCGCGTTGCGCGGCGCTGCTCCAGAGCATGCCCACGGCCAGCTCGAACAAAGCGGGGTGACACACGAAGCGGTAATCGCAGAACCTAGGATGGGTACGTCTGTGGGGTCCTCTGCAGCGCACTGGTTCCTCCAGCAGGAGGTCTTCCTCGTGCCGCCCATGGAGGCGCCCTGCCTGCACGCCACGCGGCACTGCCCGCAGGCGCAGTGGCGCCTGGAGGCCAGCGCGCCCGGCGAGGGGCGACCGCCGGGGGGCGGCGGTGGCGCCCGCCTGGTGCTGAGAGCCATGCAGTCGCAGGCCCCCCTCGCGTCGTGGAAAGGCCATGACCCCTCAGAGCCTGGCGCTGCGACTTTTTGTTTTTTTCACCGCGGGGGGCGTTGCCTTGCTTCGGGCCCAGATAAGAGTTCGATCCAGCTCGATAAATGAAGTGGGAAGATGGGGTCCAGGGCTCCGGTCGTGATGTTTCGCGATGTCTCAATTTGTTTGGGACGTCGGATCTCGGGGTTTTGCCATCCTCGGTCCCTGGGGGCCCTCGCTGGGCCCCGGGACCGTCAAGAAGAGACTCGGGATGAAAGGCCAGTCCCTGGGAATGGGTCGAGATTTGTGGGGATCGACGCTGTGCAAGAAAAAAGGCGTCGGGGGTTTGGGGTTGCAGGAGTCCTCCTCCGACTACGCCGTGGTCTCCGTGGACGAGGACTTCCAGGTAAACGCGGAGCGCAGCCCGGCCCTCGCGGAGATGTCCGAGCCACCCTTGTGGGCGGTGCTGCACCCGGGCGACGCCATCTTCATACCGTCCGGCTGGTGGCACTCAGTGCGGACGTGGCAGCCAGCCCGCGAGGATTTGGGCCTCCCAGATGGGGTCGAAGGAGGGGGAGGCCGAGGAGGGGTAGGAGGGGGGGGAGGAGGAGGAGGAGGAGGAGGAGGAGGAGGAGGAGGAGGAGGAGGAGGAGGAGGAGGAGGAGGAGGAGGAGGAGGAGGAGGCGGAGGAGGCGGAGGAGGCGGAGGAGGCGGCGGCGGCGGCGGCGGCGGCGGAGGAGGAGGAGGAGGCGGCGCAGGAGGAGAAGGAGGAGGAGGCGGAGGAGAGGAGGGTTGGTGGATCGCTCCGCACCGCTGATGCATCGGCGATGCGGCTCAATGTGGAGCCAGAACTACTCTCCACGACGATGCATCACCGGCGCATCGCAGGTGCACCCGCGACGCATTGGCGAAGCGGCGCGATCCTCCGACCCCATCTAGTCCGAACCCATTTGGGAGGCCTCCAGAGGAGGAGTCCGCGGCGCCCTTCGCGCTCAGTGTGAACTTTTGGTACCTGCCGCCCAAGGCGCTGGCCGCCGACGGGCGGGGCCCCGAGCTGTGCGCGCTGCAGGTGATGTCCTGCCAGCGCGCGCTGGCCGGCAGCCCGCAGGCCCACCTGGACGCCTTCCTGGGCAAGATGGAGGCGCACAGACCCAGGGCCGATAGGCACCGCAGTTCAGTCGAGCATTTGAGTAAGAAGTCGGCCAGTGCTTCTTGGCCAAGTTGCGGGAAAGTTGCAGTGGAGCAAAAAGTGGCATAAACATAAAAACTCAGAGGTCCGCGCGGAATTCTCGGATCGGCGCTGGACCCCATCCTTGGCGCGCGGAGCGCGCCAGGGGCGGCGCCGGAGGCGCCGCCGGGGGGCCCCAGCGCCGATCCGAGAAATCCGCGCGGGCCTCCGAGTTGTTATGTTTATGTCACTTGTTGTTCCCCTAAGTTGGCCCAAGTGCTTGCGCACGCTGGCCCCTCCATCGTCAATGACAGAAACTGGCCCAGGCTTGTTTACTAGATTTCCTGGAGGCTGGCCCAGATGCCTAAAATGATCACTTTCTTGGTCATATGTTCGGCTGCAGGTGAAGAACGAGCAACACACACCCATACCCGTAGGGGGGGTCAGATGGAGGTGGACTCGCTATGGGTACGGGCGCAGGTTGTCGGACCCCGGGGGAGGGTCCCGTTCGAGCGAGGGGGCCATCCAAGAACACGCACCCATGTCCCCCCCCGTCCCCCTATGGGTATGGGTGTGTGTTGTTCGTTCGCCAGTAGGGTCCAGCCGAGGAACATAAAGCGGCAAAAGCATTAATCTTCGGAGCTCCGCGCGGATCTCTTGGATCGGCGGTGGGACCTCCCCGGCGCCGCCCGTGGCCGCCGCGCGCCAGGAAGTGGGGCCAGCGCAGATCCAAGAGTTCCGCGCGGACCTCCGAAAGTTCCTGTGCACGCCGTTCTTTCTTTTGGGATGGGCTCCGCAGGTGGGGTCGAGGCTCCCCCGTCCTGAGATCCGGGCGCTGCTCCAGTTTGTTCGCCCCTATGGCGTTTTCGCCGCCCGGTCGCAGGCCCTGGTGCGATCACGCCTCGCGGCGACTCGAAAAGTGCAATGCCGCAGAAAGAGGGGGTCTTCGGGGGTGCACAGAACCCCCACCAGTGACACGTCGATCAGTGAATTGTCCGTTCTCGGTTCTCGAGAGGGCGCCGCGGCCGCTATGTTCCAGGCTTGCGCCCGCCAGGTTTGGGCCGCGGGTCGTTTTCACTAAACCACGGTTTACTAAAGGGAGGTCTGTCCATCCCCGACCCTCCCCCCGCTCCCCCCCCCCCCACGGAGTAGATCTTGGCTGTTTTGGGGCTTCATCCATCCCCGAGGGCTAGGGCTTCACCCATCCCCCCCACGGTGTACTAAAGGGGGGTCTGTCCATCCCCGAGGGCTATAGGGCTCCAGACGTGGTTGCTCGCGGTGCCGAAGTCTTGTTCTCGCAGCGTCGGGGCTCAGGGTGCGTGCCCTGCTCAGACCATGCATACCAGATTCCTGTCGGTCGCGATCGGTACTCCAGATTTCGAAATAAAGGGAGGAGGGTCTCATTTCGGGGGGGGTCTCTTCCATGCTATCTTGGAGGGCCTGGGGGGGTCTGGGGACGATGTTTTGGAGGGTTCTCCCACGGGGGGGGGTCTAAAACATCTCGTCTGGGAGGGTTGAGACCCCCTCCCTTTTATTACGAAATCTGGAGTAGCGACCGATCGGTCGCGACTGCTTCTGAAGCAATATCGGTATGGCAACCGATCTCGCCAGAAGCGACCAGAGAATTCTGGCAGCCAGTGATCAGGGTTGCCCTCTCGCATGGGGCTATAGGACAAGGATACACACGTTCCAGAGCCTTACGGAAAGCTCTCGGAGCGTTCCGGAACGCTCTGAGAAGGCCGCGACGCCCGATACAACATCCAGAGCCGGCAGATCTCAGAGATGCTCGATTCACTCGGGCGTGAATTCAGGGTGGGGCGGTAAGTGGGAAGAAACGTGCACCTTCCGTGCCCATGTTGGGTCCCAGGGGGCCCCTGTAGGACCCCTTTAGGGCACAAACGGTACACCTTTCCTCACCCCCCTCATTCCCTGAGATCCGACGTTGCGAAAACATTGGGACGTCGCAAAAAATCACGACTCAAACCCCGGACCTTCTCTTTCTGCGTCACTTTTCGAGCCGCATCGATCTATGAGGGGCCCGAAACCGGGTGGAAACGCCCGGCTCGAAAAAATTGCCACGCCAGGATATGAGGGCTTGTCGCCCCCCCGTTACTCGACGCCCGATTCGTCCTCACCTGGATTCCGTCGCCCCCCGCTGGATCGCCCCCCCGATCCGTCCTCACCTGGGCTCACCATGGTTTCGTCCTCGCACGAACTCGACCTCACCTGGATTCGTCCTCGCCTGGCTTTATATCCTCGCCGTGGCACCGATTCGCCCCCACCCGGATTTGTCCTCGTCCTGGCTTCGCCTCCTATGCCCTCTCCGGGTGCAGGTGCAGAGAGCGCAGGGCCCGGCGGGCGGCGGCGGAGCCCTGCACGGCGGCGCCGCGTCGCCGGAGCCGCGGCGTGGCGGCGCCGGGGGAGATCGGCGGCAACCGCAGGGGGGGATAAGCACAGGGCGGGGGAAGCATCGACCCACAATCGCCCATTGATCGCCGATAGGGGCCCGAGAACTCCAGCCCGCCCAGGAAGGTGCGGTGTCGCTAATTATCGGGTGCCCATCGTCGATCTCTCGGCGAGGTGTCGCCGAATCCAGGTCGATGCATTCCCCACTGTGCCAGTCCCCCCTTATCGTCGCCCCTCAGGAGAGGCGGGCGGTGCGCGGGCGGGGGACTCGGCGCCCGAGGGGCCCTCGCCAGCGGCGGGTGGCAGCTTCGAGATCGTGGACTGACGACAGCTTCTTCGAGTAGGAGATCGGCTATACCATTGGTGTACCCCAAAATTGAGATTTTCGTAGAACCGATTGAAAATTCGCAGGGGTTCTTCGTAGATTCACGAACATCCTACGTATGACTCGCAGATCCGACGAAGTGTGGGTGCAAGTCCATTATGCAGTCGATCTCCTGCTCGATTTCTGTGTATGCCGCCTGTGCTTCTGGAGGCGCTCCGCGGCATGTGCGAGGGCCCCCTGCGTGCCAGGGGGCCTCGCCTGGGGGCGCGGCGCAGGGCCTGGCGGGCGGCGGCGGCGGCGGAGCCCTGCACGGCGGCGCCGCGCGGCGCAGGGCGGCGCCGCACAGCGCGGGGCGGCGCCGGAGCCACCGCGCAGCCGCGCCGGGTAAGAGGCGGGCGGCGCGCGGACGGGCACCAGTCGCCGAGCGGCGAGCAGATCCGTCTCCGCGCCCTCGCGGTCGGGGTTCAGGGGGCGCGAGCCCGCGGAGGCCTGCAGACCTCTGGCGTGGCCCAGACCTCTCCGGCGTCTCGAAGAATAGGGAGACGAGGGCTTTGCGTGGTGCTCGGCCTCTTAGGGGCGTTTACAGGGCCTCGTGACCGTCTAACATCGACTCGGGCTGAAAAACCGGTCCCGGGGAACCGGTCCAGAGCTCGGGGGCCCGTGCCTCGAAAAGTCGTGACGCCGGATGTCGGGGCACGCGGTCGCACGAGAACGTTCCGGGCGGAGCACCCGCGAACAAAACCGCCTCGTGGACGCGCGGGCGCAGCCCAGGGGCCCGGCCCGCGAGGCCGCGGCCGCGGGCACGTATACGCTTGTTGCTCGCCCAAGGGACGGGGGGGGGCGGGCGCCCGAGAAGAGGCCCCCGCCGGCGGCGTGCGGCAGCAGCTTCGCGAGCGTGGACTGACGAGCCCGCAACGGTAGGTCCTCGTGTTCGGAGATCGTCTTGGGTTCTCAGCGGTGCTCCGGCCTCGGGACGCTCGCCATCAGCTGCGCCTCGCGGAGAGCGTTCCGGGGCTGCCCGGAGCGGCACGAACGGCCGCCGGAGGCCCGAGTGACGACCTGAAAACAAAAGGGGTCAGAGGGGGGCGAATTGAGACGACGACAGCTTGCATTCGGGGGGGGGGGGGGGGGGGGGGGGGCCCACGTCGCCACGGCTGGACGCAGCTCGGAAAACTGCTGCGCTGGGGCATCGGTAGGGCCCCGCGCGCCCTGCTCCGAGCAGCGCCAACACCGGGTCGGGGAGGGGAGGGCCAGCCGAGGCCAGGGCGGCTCTCCCGCAGGTGGCCCGCATCCGCCCCAACTCCGTCCCCCTGGGCTCCTCCCGGGGTCCGCGTGCGGACCCGTGCTTCGAGGCGGGGCCGGCCGTGGCCGACGAGCAGCCTCTCCCAGGAGGCAAAGAAGAGAACGGCAAGCGCCAGGGAGGGCCCCGCGGTCTCCCGTGGCCCCCCGCCCGACCCCGACGCAGAGCAGCGCAGGGAGCCCGCCGCCGGTGCACGCGCGGCGGCGCGCCAGTGGGGCCGCTGTCCTCGTCTTGCGGGGCCTGCGGCGGCGGCCCCGGCCGCGCGGAGGACGCGACCGTCTGGGCACGGCCGCCTGCGCTCCTCGCCCTCGGGCAGGGCCCAGGGGTCGGAGGTGGATAGGCCTCCTACCCCGACACGTCGATGGAGGAATTGGCCGCCTTCGGTTCGCGAGAGGGCGTCGCGGCCGTCACTGTTGCGGGTCCAGGTCCCTCGGTTTCGGTCCGAGGCCGTTTTCACTGAGGGGAGGTTTGCTAGAGATGTTTGTCCACCGCCAAAAGGGTGCTCCTCACTGTTTGGGGGGTGATCGGTTCCACGGTGGACCGCAGAGTTTCTGCAAGAGGCTTGAGCGCCATGCCGCCGACCCCCCAGAAGCGGGGAGAAGAGTCCACGGGGCGAGGCCTCGTAGGGCCTCTCGGGAGCCCTCTGAGGGCTTCTCTTGGGGGCCCCCTCTTCGGGCTTGGAGGGGTCACCGGTTCCACGGTTGACTGCATGAGTTTGCCTAATGATCGTGGGTCGGTTCGCGTCGGGATCTTGGTTTGCTTGACGACCTTTTGATTCGTACAGCGGTTGAGGCCGAGCTGTGTGAAGTTTTGTGGTCGTGCTCCGTCCTCCTCCCCTTACTCCAAAGATTAGTTTGCAGATCATCGGAGCCGTCTTTAGTACCCTGGCGAATCCCATCGTCAATGTATTGCCGTCTAGTGCTGTTTAGTGTGGTTTAGTTTGGCTGGCGTCTTCTTTTTCCCTCGTCCATTATGCAAGTTAGTGCAAGTTAGCATTAGTGAGTGGAACTGTCTGATCCAGTTTAGTGCCAGCTAGCGCGCTGTAATACAGTTACCATTCAGTACCACGTAATACCACTTACTTAAGTACCATTTAGTGCCATTGTGTGCCATTTAGCAGAATTCAGCAGTGCCGGAGGATGCTGGCAACTTGGACCTGCATTAAAGCCCACTAAGCCGCACTAGATGGAATGATACAGACACAGGAGACAACAACAAAAATAACACCTTTTTTGGGTTATGGGGCTATTGGGCTATAAGACCATAGGGCTATAGGGCTATGGCGCTATTGGGCTACAGGCATATATGCATATGGGGCTACAGGGCTATAGGGCTATAAGGCTATAAGGTTATAGGGCCATAGGGCTATAGGAGTATAGGGCTACAGGGCTACAGGGCTATAGGGCCATCAGGCTATAGGGCCATAGGGCTACAGGGTTATAGGGCTATAGGGCCATAAGGCTATGAAGCTATAGGACTGGACTATAGGGCTATAAGGCTATAGGGCTATCGGGCTATAGGGCTATAGGGCTACAGGAATATAGGGCTATAAGGTTATAGGGCTATCGTGCTATAGGGCTATAGGGCTATTGGGTTATTGAGCCATTGGGCTATAGGGCTATGAGGCTATAGGCCTACAGGGCTATTGGGCTAGTGAGCCATTAGGCTATAGGATCTATAGGGCTACAGGGCTATAGGGCCATAGGGCTATGAGGTTAGAAGGCTATGGGGCTATAGGGCTATATGGCTACCAGACACCCTCGGGTTAACCCAAAAGGGGGTCTAGATGTGGTGCAATAGATTTGTGGGGTTGCAATACATTTGCGGCGTGCAATAGATTTCGGGGCGCAAATGTATTTCGCGGGCAATACATGACTTGCAATGCAATGCAATACAATTATCCAGCGCAACACGTTTGCAATACGATTGCCCCAAATCTATTGCACCACCCCCTTTCAGCTGGACCGACCCCCTTTGGGGCCACACAAACCCCCGGGCACCCGGGCAGTCGGGCACACGGGCGGGCCGCGGAAATCGGCGGCGAATTTCACTTAACCATATGAATCCGCTAGGACCCCCACAGAGGCAAGTTCTGCTTGGGGAATTAAACGGAAATTCCAATGCCCTACACAAGGCTCCCACTGTTGGCCACAGCAAAGAAGAGGGGTGTCATTGGTTCCTCTTGGCGATCGAGGTTCCAGGTGTGAAGCTCGGGGAGGCTTGTTGGACGTTTGGGGTCGCTCTGGAAGGCTCTGGGGTGTCCTTAGAAGGCAGCTTCCTTGAGGGAATGGCGTTTCCTCTAGGAAGTGGCGACCCTCCTAGTGGTGCCCCCCATGACATTGCCCCTTCCTCCTTCCTCCTTTCCACCCTTCCTTGCTCAGCACTGCCTGTTGGAAGGCCTCCTGGAGGCCTCTTTGGAAGCCTCTTGGGGGGACTCGTTGCTGGCGGGAGCCTCTCAGGGGCCTCTTGGCTGTCTGGGGGCCATCTTTGGGTGGAGAGCTCCAGATGTCAGTTCGAGTTACCCGTTACCCCTCCTGGGAACCTCGGGGGGTTCTCTTGGGGTTCTTCAGGGGGCCCTCTGGGCCGTCTTAAACGTGGGCCGAATATCGGCAACGGTGCGCAAACACGTTCTGGACACATTCTTGGCGTTGTCATTCCCCTCAGTTGTCCTTTCTAGGCGACCACATGTGAACCCTACTCCCACACCCCCTTTAGAAATCGTGGGGGTGGGGGGGGTAGGGTTCACATGTGGTCACCAACTTTTTCTTCTCCCGAATTCGCACTGACACAGAAGTGTGGATTCCAAGCCACGCTCCCGAGGCCTCTGGAAAAGTCACGCGGGGATTCCCGAGGGCGCCCAAGGGATTCAGGGGGCGCAACGGATTCGGAGGGCCCTGGCCCCCTAAACAGGCCTCACGATACAGTCGGACCGAGGTATGAGATCGAGTTCGGCTCGGGCAGGGTACCCTAATGTTCTCCGTGCTTGTTGGATGTTCTTGTGCATTTTGGGGAGGATACCCTTGGACGTACGTTCTGTTTGCTTTGGGCGGCGGAGGGCCTCATGTTCTTGAAGGACGTTACTCTGGCCTAGGTCCGACTGTACGGTGTGGGCGGTGGTTATAGAATGTGCCCAGGATGCTTCAGATCCTGAAGGGCTCCTTATCTGATCAGGGCGGTGGTGATGCCCATGGCCAGTCCACCATTGGAGTTCCACGGGCGTCCAGCCACTGGATTCCTCATCCAATGGTTCCTTACCCCATGCCCTCACCGTGCTCAGCACAAAGAACTCGAAGGGACCTGGGAACGCTTGAACCCGTGCCTACGGCACGCTGGCGGATGTAGTTGAGCCCCCGCGGCAGAACATTTGAAACAGCATAACAATTTGGCACAAAGGTGTGTGTGTGTACAG